TAAGCAAGTGAGGACGGGCAGGCACAAGGCCCAGCTGGGTGCAGAAACGCTGGTGGTCACAAGGTGGCAACGCCTTGGTGAAGATATCTGCAATGTTGGCCTCTGAGACCAAACGAACAATACGAGCCTGGCCACGCTGTTGTAACTCTCGCAGAAGGAAGTAACGAAGCTGGATGTGCTTCGCCTTCCCAACCAGTCGGGGCTCCTCGCACAACAGGACAGAAGACCTATTGTCGGCGAACAAGACTTGGGGAGAGCGAGGCCGCTCACCAAGGTCGGTGAGGAGGAAAGACAGCCAGCGAAGCTCCTGGGCGGCAATGGCCGCAGCGTACACCTCCGCCTCATAGCTGGAGCCAGCGACAGACGACGCCCGAGTCGACCGCCACGAAACAGCTCCGGTCCCGGGGCTGAAGTAGTAACCCTGTGAAGACCTGTACGTCTGACCACAGTCCGCGTACGACGAGTCGAAGAAACCTGTGAGTGTAACTCGCTGCTTCCCTCCAAGGACAAGTCCCATGCCCGATGTGCTCGCCACATACTTCGCCACCCTCCTAGCAGCCAAATAGTGAGAAGGTTGGTGTCTCCTAGGCGGAACAAAGCGCGCAAGGACGCTGAGAGAGAAAGCCAAGTCTGGGCGAGTACAAGTCATCAGGTACATGAGACAACCAACCAACTTAGGATATGGACCACTGGACTCAAACGACTCGTCCAAAGGTGGAGCCGTGAGCCCATGGTTCACACCAAGAGGGGTGAGCTGTGCCTTGGAGAACGGGAAGCGAAAACACGTGAGGATCTGCTCGACCATATGCGTCTGCATCAGCGTAATGGTGCGAGCTGCCCTATCTCTAGTGATCTACAGGCCAAGGTAGCGCTGCAGCTCACCAAGGTCAGTGCACGTGTGTCTCCTCTGCAGTTCCTCCTTCACGGAGGACTGTGCGCGTCGGTCGGGAGTGGCAAAGACCAGGTCGTCAACGTAAACCAGAACAAAGAAAGGGGTCGAGCCACGGCGAACGAAGCGCGTCGGGTCGGCAGACGACGGAAAGAAACCAAGCGCTGCAGGAGTCGTGCGAAACGTGTCGTGCCACTCGCGGGGAGCCTGGCGCAGGCTGTAAACCGGTCAACGCAGCTGCCACTGGGTCCCATGGGGGAAAGAGCCAGTGAAGCCGAGCGGAAGACGCGGCCAGATCCCCCAGGCGGGGTTCCCATGGGTTTGCTGCGGCCTGGGGGTAGGCGCTCTCTGTGGCCTGGTTAGACTTTGCCAGGAACGTGTTTGCCTGGCTCCTCTACAGCATTGGCGGTAGTGGGCTGTGAGTTTGGAGGCGACCGTGGTGAGCCTCCCCTGCCTAAACTTCTTTTTAGCCGCATGTCTGCCCAAGAGACGAAGAAACCGCTGTGTGTCGCGTGCAAGGGCCCCATATGTCTCCACTGCTAGCCCAAACACCCCCACAAAATCTGGCCGGCCCTCATACATTCCCCTTTTCCCCCTCGCTGCGTCCTCTGCCGCCCAGCCTAGCGGTTTCACTGCCCTGGTGTCGCGGCGCTGCAGGATGGGGTCGGTCACCGTGACGTCGGTTACGTACGTCTCGGCTGACTCCTTGTCCTTAATGGCCAGGTCTGCTTGCTTGGGGTTGACTGGTTGCGAGTAGACCGTGGTCTCACACAAAGTAAGGTAGTCGGCCTCCCTGGCCATGCGCAGCGCTGCATACACTAGGGTGTTGTGTGTGTTTGTCCTCTCCTTCCCTTCCCCACACCGCAGCAAGTGGTTCGGTAGGCTCATGTCCCCTATCTTCCCCCGCTCCCCCTGGCACGGGCAGTTGTCGGTCACTGGCAGAGTCAACCCCAGGCGGAAGCCCAGGGCTATAGCAAACTGTCCCGGCGAGAACGTCAGGTCTGCCCGCGTGGGGATGGCATGAAGCCAGTCCCCCGCCCCCACCCCCTGTAGGCTAATCAGTCAGACCACGTGGCCGTTGTCTTCCCTGGGTTTGTCGATCCGAGTGTCGCCTACCAGCTCCGCCGCTCGGTTGAGGTTAATGTGTCTTGACAATTGCTCCGCGGTCCCTCCCTCCTCTGTTGTCTCCCGGCTCCCTTAGAAGTTCTCGTGCCTCCTCCGGGAGTCTGTTCCAGAGGTCCCGAAGTGTCGCTCCCCCCCTCCCCACCACTCCCTCCCCAAGTGGTGACACCAGCGCCGCCACCTGCTGCAGCTGGTGGTTTGGGGAGGGCGGCATTTGCTGTAGTAGCATCTGCGCCGCTTTCAATGACGAGAGGTAGGCCGCCGGCGCCTCCGACAGTGGGTCTATCAGCCCCACGCCGCCTAGCGCGAAGGGCAGCGTCGCCTGCCTCCATACCAAACTCTGTTCCAGCTCCTTAGATGGCACGTTGATGTTGGCCGCCCTTAGTGTCGTCCACAACAACCTCTCGCTCCACCCTCGCCACTCCCTGAGGGGGAGGACGTCCGCCGGCGTAGTGCGCAGGAGCTAGGAAATCCTGCGCGATATGCATCGAGACAGGAGCAGCATCGTGTGTCGCAGGTGCAGCTTGCTGACGAGGCTTAGCGGTAGGGCAATCCGCTCCAGTGATCCACTTAGTGTGCGTCTGCAGTACGCCGTCGTGCCAATCGGGCTCCCCATTACCTGCACTCCGTCCACCGCTGACGCCAATCCTTTTAGGTAAGTCTCCTGTATTTCCTGAAGGACTCCACGCCGATGACTTGGCGAGGTTGCAACGCAGTCTCAGTCCATCGAGCTCTCGGCTTATCATGTTAAATGCTCTCGTCGCCGCCACAGGTTGGCCGATGATCGAAATGTCGTCTACGTATGCCAGTCACGCCCGTGACTGCTACCGCCGCCGCCAGCAGGGCCGGTTGTATTGCTGCTGCGAAGAGCATAGGGCCGAGCGGGTCCCCTTGCCTGACGCCTCTGGTGCTTTCGATTGAGCTGACGGTGAAGCCTTTGTCCAGCAGTAGCTTCGAAGGCGCGCCATATAATGTTCGCGCGAAGGGCAGCAGGGAGATCAGGCCGGTCCATCGTAGCGTCGACAAGAAAGACCCGCGTTCCACAAAGTTAAACGTGTTTTCAACGTCCAATTGTAAGATTGTTCTCGATGAGTCTTCCTCCAGCAGCGTTCGGGCCGTGTGTATTATACACTCTGCTCCTCCTGGGACCGCTACACCGTATTGTACTGGCATGAAGTGCGAACGGATTTCCCCAGACAGCTCCCTTAGTGCCGCCTTCGCCGCTAGCCTAAGAAGCGCCTCCCCAATCGCGATTGGCCTCACTCCGCCGTCCGGTTTTTCCAGAGCGATTAGCCTCGATGGCAGCAGCAGCTCCCTTAGTGGCTCGTCCTGATAGGTACCGAGTAGGTTGTTGACTACTTGGTGCAGCAGCATGAAGACCTCCCCGTTTGTTAGTGCTGGGTCGCGGAGGTGTTCGAAGCACGTGCCAGAAGGGCATGCGCCTATTCCATTTGGGCACCTCGCCAAAACTTCGCGGAACGGTTCTGTGCCGATGGCGAGTGCGATTTCACCGTAACCCCGTAACCCTTCAGGTATCGCCACCTCTGCCCGTGGGTGTTTCGCTCGGAATGTGTCCATTGCTTGTTGCGACGGTTCCGCCAACGGAGAGGTTTGTAACGCTGCCGCCGCCTTCGCCAGGTTGGCCTTTCGGACCCCTCAGCCCTTGCACAGATGCCCTCGGTGTCAGGTTCGTGTCTGCTCGGTTGGGAAATGGCGGGGAAGGTGCAGGCTTGGAGGTACAGTCCGCCCCAATCTTCGTCTCGGAATTATCGAAGTCGTTTCTCCACCGCGTCATAGTTATTTCCCGGCAGTTTCTCCGTGCTAGCCCTCAGTGTAAGTCTTGGCAGAAATTGCAGGATTCGCCACGCTCCCATGCAGGCCGGATGTTTCGACAATCGCAGCAGGGGGATGGTGAGACAGTGGCTGAAGGATTTCAGAATTTCCGGGGGAAGCTTCCGGATCAGGAATGGTTGGGAATTGGCTCGTAGTGGGTCTAGATCCCACCTCTCCACCACCCGCCACGTGTCGTCGTCGTCCGCGATGTCACTGGGTGAGCGCTCCTTGCTGGCGGGCTCATTGGCCTGCTGAGCTGGTGATTCGCCCACCTGTCCTGTAGCGTCTGCATTCCTTCCTTCCCGCCCTCGTCTTCCGCCACGTCCTCGTCTACACTCGTTGCCTACGGGGACCCCATCCTCGGCCTCCACAGAGAACTCTTCCGATTCCGCCTCTTCCTCCCCAATATATTCTGACCCATTTTCTCCAGCAGAGTCATTCATTGGCTCTGCGTTCTGCTCCTCTGGCCTCACGTGCCTTTCTTGCCAGTTCCCAGATCTGGCTTTTTCCCTTGCAACGGATCTCGCTAGCTCCCCCACGCGTCCCCCCCTGCCCTGGCCCCTCCCGCGTCCCCTCGTGACCGCGCTTCCCGCCGCGTTTCGCGGCTGCTGGGCCATCGCCCGATCTTCCGCCTGCTCTTGTAAGGCCCTCTGCCTGCTCGTTTTGTTCCTATGGCTTTGCCACGCTGCCGTTGCCGACGCTATCACCTCTTCCTCCCTGTTTTCCTCAAACTGATCCGCTGTTTGGTGTTCCTCCACCGCGCCTCCCTGTGCGTGCAGGTCACGATGCGATGAGGGGCAAGCGCCAGCCCTCCTCCCGAGCGGATCGCTCGGCCGGTCCTCCTGTTGCTCCCAGCCCCTCAAAGGCCCAGGACGAGCTGGCGCCAGCCCTGCTCCGAGCCGCCGCTGCCCTGGTCGAGCGCAAGGGGGCCGGATCCCCCTCCCGTCGTCGAGAGCCAGTCTATCACTCTCCTCGCGGGCGGGCCCATCCACATCTCCGGGCCCGGGGCGGCTCCTTCCGCCGTCGCCGTCCACCTCGCCACCCTCCTGCTGTCAAGCAGGAGGTCGTCGGGCCCCTGCTTCAGACGCGCGATCACCATCTCCAAGGGACGCCGCCGTCGCGCCTGCCGTCTGATTCTCTCCCATCGTCTCTGCAGCTATCGTCTGTCCTGCGGAGTCGTCTCCCTCGGCGTCGCCACCCCCTCCTGCCCCAGCGGTGTCACTCTTGGTGCCGTCATCTTCCGCGCCTCCTCCTCCGGCTCCTCCCCCGATGGCGCATGCGGATGGGGCACCTCCCGCGCCTCCTGCCCGTTCGCAGCCTCCTCCGGCAGCGGTTCCTTCGGTTGAGCCTCCTCATCGGCTGCATCCTTTGGTTCCTCTCCATCCCGCCCCTGTCGCTCGTTTCCCTCCGCCTCGAGCCCAGTCTCCAGAGCCTCCGCCCGACGCACCTGATCGTGAGGACGACGAGAAGTGGTGGAACGGTGAGCTGTGGGAGTCTCCTCCTCAGTCCGGGACGACGTGGGGTCGGGACTGGGACATCCAGTCCGACTTCGCCCTGACGTCCTCCGTTGGGGGCGTCGCATGATTGGCGTTGGCGAGTGCCTCTCACACGTAGTTACGGCGCTGGAGCAGCTGCATGCCGGTCTGGAGGCGCGGAACTTCGTGCTGCGGGATCCCCAGCTGACCGAGCACCAGCAGGGTGTTGTCCGTGCTGCTGTGGCTCAGGGCTTGTGGAGGCTCCTCCGCTTGCCCCTTGAGCCCGAGCATCCTGACGAGAACGAGGGGCCGGGCGTGAGGGCTTTCCGCAGGGTCGCCACGGCTGCCGATGAAGCATCCCTGCAGCTTGTGCCTGCGCTCGCGTCCTTGCTCCGCTGGATCCGCTGGCGGATTTACGTGTTGAACCACGTTTAGCGTCCTGCCCCTTCTGGGCTTTGCCATTTGCCTTTTTGTTCCCCATCCTCTCCCTATCCTACTTACCTTTCCCTTGGTGTTTGGGCGTAGCTACTGCTGCATGTTGTATGTACTGCTAATGATCATTGTTGCTTGTTCCTTGCCACCCCTCACGCGCGGCCGAAGGCCGCACTGTCGAGCGCCGGCCGCCTTCGATTTTGCAGTGAGAATGAACTCACCACCAAACAATGAGGAGGAGAATGGGCTCTTTGCCCTTATATACTAGGGAACTAGGCTGATATGGCTAAGGACTAGGCTAGGCTAAGGAACTAGGCTGAAAATGGCTAAGGACTAGGACCCAAGGGTCTCTCTCTCTCTCTGTCTCTGTAATGGTCCGTGTATTGATATAGCCAAAGGGTACATTCATGCAAGCTATTGCTAGGATTGTAAGGCAAACAAGCACAAAAACTAACAAGCAATACACAACTGTCTCTCTACACCTCCATGAGAGGCTCTAGCACAGCATAGCAGTCCCCAAGGTGGAGCTCGGACTGCACCCCCCCCCACGGGAGGATTTTCAGCTACGGCCGCCTGAGAGGAGTATCCCACTGACTGTGCTCTTTGCAGAGCCACGGACCAGCACTGCCTAAAGAGGTGAAGGAACCTAGCTGCATGATGGGAGGTAGGTTGGGCGTTGAATGACGCCTAGCAGCTGTGTCCGCCAGTAACTTCAGAAATTTTGGGACTTCCGCACAGGGGCAGCCGTATGTCTCAACTGCAAGGGGGAAGAAGCCGACCGTGTCAGGCCGGTTAGCGTAGTGGCCAATTTTCTTGTCAGCCTGCTCCCTTGCTGCCCATCCCCTCCCCTTAGTAGCATTGGGATCCCGAGTGCTAATGGGATCCGTGATGGTGACATCACAGGCGTAGACCGCCCCCGAGCTCCTATCACACATGGTGAAGTCGGCGGTCTGTTCTTCTATAGGGCCATAAGCAGCTGATTCACTGTGAACTATGAAGCCAGCATCCTGCGCCATTGTAATACACGCATCCCGCAATTCGTTGTGAGTGTTGATTCTGTGCTTGCCCGTGCCGCAGCGGAATAGGTGGTTCGGCAGTCGTGGGTCCTTGTCGACATGCTTAGAGCAGTCGCAGTTTTTAGGTGTAGAGAAGGGAAGCCCCAGTCTGAAGCGGACGGCATTGGCGAAGTGCTCGGGACCTACTCTGCGGGTATGCTCTATTGGGATTGTTGTCAGCCAGTCCCCCGTGCCGTAGCCAGTCAGAGTGACGAACCGTTGGGTATGGCCTGACAATGGGTTCAGCCGCATGAGCCGTGTTGCCTGTACTTGTGTGGCATATCTGCTCCCCTGCACTCTCACCCCGAGCTCGTGCTGTAGCTTTAAATCTGATGGCTCGAGTCTTTCCTTGTCTAGGACGTCCCTAACCTCCTGCGCCAGTGCTCTCTCGCATTCGGACAGCCAGCGGTGTAGAGCGGTGGTTACATCTCACGGTAGCAGCATGTGATTCCTAACCGCCATCAAGGCCACCTCTGACTCCAGCGTCAGGGCACTAAGGAGGAGTGATGCTTGCGTAAAACTGGCTAGGAAGCAAAACGTTCCTTCTACCGTGGGGTCTGTGAGTCCTATGCCCCCTAGCGTCGGTGGGAGTGACGACTGCTCCCAGACCCGGGTCTGTTCCGTGCCGTCCGTCGGTAAGCGTATGCCGCACGCCGTAAGGAGGGTGGCCAGCAGGTCCCTACCCCACTGAGACCAAGTGTCACTGTCCAGAAGATGCAGAGGAGTCGTTCGCGTGAGATATGCTACTCGGCGTGAAATGCAGCGGGTGAGCAGGAGAGATGCGATCTGCGGGTCCATTCGTTCTATCAGTGGCAGCGGTTTGGACATAGCCTGTAGCTCCGCGGATAGGAAGGAGGCGGCGCCATCTGGTGTTCCTAGGAAGCAACCGAGAAGCCGGACGCCCTCAGTACTAGTCGGCACCCCGGGCGGCAGCTGCACTTCCTGGTCTATCGGGTGGTTGCTCCATGCGAAATATTTCCCCAGATTGTGTCGCAGACCTACTTGGGATAGTTGGCTCGTGAAGTACGAAAAGGCAGCGACGGTCTCACGGTGTTCGCCTAAGAAGCTAACGTCATCGGCGTATGCCAGGCACAATACGCCGGGATGTGCTGTTGCCGTTGCTCTCAATGCGGGGTGGATCCCAGCCGCGAACAGAAGCGGACCTAAGGGGTCCCCCTGTCGCACCCCACGTTCACTCGGCAGTGGTGCGCTACTGAAGCTAGCGTCCAGGAATAGTGATGATGGGTGGCCGTATGTCAGTTTGACTAGAGGCAGTAGTAGCTCTCTCTCTCTCTCTCTCTCTCTCTCTCTCTCTCTCTCTCTCTCTCTCTCTCTCTCTCTCTCTCTAATGGTCCTTGTATTGATATAGCAGCAAAGTACAAGCATGCAAGTGATAGAGGTCTAGGTAACAAACAAACCAAGCATCAAATCCTACCTACTACCTCTTCTAAAGCTCCAGGAAGGGCTCAACCACCGCAAAACAATCCCCTAGGTTCAGCTCCTGCCCAATACCGCCTACAGGCGGGTTCTCTGCTGCAGCTGCCTCGCCGAGCTTGAGTAGGAGGCCCACAGATTGGGCCCTCTGAAGGGCCACCGACCATCTCTGTCTGAACTGGTGCAGAAACTTCGCGGCATGGAAGGATTTTGAGTAGGAATTGAAGTGGCGCCGAGCCGCCGTGTCTGCTAAGAGCTTCAGGAAAACAGGTACCTCGGCGCATGGGCAACCGTAGGTTTCCACGGCCAGAGGGAAGAAGCCAACTGTCTCCGGCCGGTTAGCGTAATGCTTTATCTTTTTGTCGGCCTGCTCCCTTGCCGCCCACCCCCTGCCTTTTTGTGCCTCAGGGTCCCTTGTGCTGATAGGCCCGTCAGCGAGAACATCCGCTGCGTGTGGCCTGAGAGGGGGTTCGGTTTCATGCGCCTCGTGTCCTGCACCTGCACGGCGTATCTGCTGCCGTGGACCTTCAAACCGAGTACGTGTTGTAGCCGAACGTCCGACCGTTTAAGTCGTTCCTTTTCCAAGATTTCCCGCGCGTCCCATGGCAACGCGGCTTCGCACTCGGTAAGCCATGTGTGCAGTGGTGTGGTGTCGTCCCGCGGCAAGAGCATGTGATTCCGAGCTCGGAGCAGGGCGTTGCCTGGTTCTAGCGCGAGGGAGGAGAGAAAAAGTGCCGCCTGGGTGAAACTCGCCGTGTACCCGTAAACTCCTTCGATTAGTGGGTCTGTAAGGCCTATGCCTCCCAGTGATGGTGGCAGTGACGCCTGCGCCCATACTCGAGCCTGCTCGGATCCGCACGTGGGGACGCGGATATCGCATGACACTAGCAGTGTGATGAGTAGGTCCCGTCCCCACTGGCTCCAAGTATCGCGAGGGAGTAGGTGGAGGGGTGTCGTTCGAGTGAGATAAGCCACACGCCTGGAGATGCAGCGGGTGAGTAGCAGGGAAGCTACCTGAGGGTCGGCTCGTTCGAGTATTTGTAATGGCTTCACCATTTCTTCTAGCTGGCTTGATAGGAATTTGGCCGCTCCCATGTCGGACCCTAGGTAGCTTCCTAGAAGCCGCACCCCTTCCTTTGAGTACGGCACTCCAAGTGGTAGCTGCGCTTGCTCAACCGTGGACGCACTCCAGGCTGCGCACTTCTGCGGGTTATATGTTAGGCCTATGTGGGCCAATTTGTCGGTGAAGAGCGTGAAGGCTGCTACAGTGTGTGTTGTTTCCCCCAAAAAGGTGACGTCATCCGCGTACGCCAGGCAGAGCACGTCCGGATATGCCTCGGCCGTTTCGCGGAGTATGGGGTGTATCCCTGCTGCAAATAGTAACGGGCCGAGTGGGTCGCCCTGGCGAACACCGCGTTCGCTTGTCAGTGGTTCGCTGTTGAAATTGGCGTCCAGATTTAGCAGCGACGGGTTACCGTAAGTCAGCTGAACTAACGGCAGCAGTGGCGAGAGGCCGGGCTCTTGTAACGCTGTTGCGATGGCTTGTCGTGAAATGCTGTTGAAGGCATTCGAAATGTCCGTCTGCAGTACCAGGCTGTCGGGACGGGCATCCAAAAATGCCCTGGCTGCGTGGATTACCGCTTCTGCTCCACCTGGCACTGCCACTCCGTATTGAAGGGGTAAGAAGTGTTCGCGGGCAGCTTCTCCCATGGCTGCGAGGGCTGCTTTGGCTGCCAGCCTGGTCAGACACTCGCCTATCGCGATTGGCCGTGCGCCACCTCCAGGTTTGGCCAAGGCGATGAGGCGTGATGATGTCAACAGGTTCGCCACCAAGCCTGGTAAGTTTCCCCCCAGTATTGTGTTTACCAGGGCGTGCAGATGGGTGCAGATCGCTGCATTGGTTACGGCCGCGTCACGCAGATGTTCGAAAGTCGTGCCTGACGGACCGGCCCCCACTTCATTTTCGCACCTTCCCAACATTTTGGCGAAATCGGCGTGGTTGATGGATAACTTTGACCCCCCCGTCGCCGGCCAAGTCAACCCCGCGTGTGCAGCAGGTGGGTGTTTTCGGCGGAGGTCATCCAGGATTTCTGGTCTTGGTGTGCAGACTGGTGTTGACTCCAGGGCCAGAACGGCTCTCCGTAGACCGCCACGTTTCGCTAGGCCTTCGGCTCGGCTGATGACTCCAGTCGTGTCAGGCTGGTGTCGTGGCGGTGGAGGTGTGTTGACCGCCTCCACCGCGTCCAGATACAACTGCTCCCATTCGCCACGTTGGAAGGCTCGGAGCCGGGCTTTGACCTGCGGCCAGTTCGGTCGCTGCGGCGAGGTCTGGCGAAGTGTTAGGCGCGGGAGAAACAGTAGCAGGCGCCA